TGCGGTGGGCGTGTTAATCTGATCGACGAGACGGGCTCTGAAAATGGACATGATTTGAAAAACAAGAACAAAAACATTTGAAAAACTTACCTGATCCACTCGACCCACTTTTCCATTGACTTGTGCAGTCCGCCAAAGTTGGTCATGCCGAACCAGTTGAGCATGTCCGTCCAGACGGTCTTTGTCTGCAGCTCATCGTTGACAAAGCTGGCCCGGTAGAGGTGACTGAAGCTGTGGCCAGCATCGCTTTCATTCGTCGCCTGGTGGAACAACTCCAGTAGTTGAACAGAGAGCTCAGCAGTGGTGAAGTTGGTGAGAATGGGAAAGTTGTTTTCGTAGTGCAGCTTGGGCGAGTTAAGAAAACGATCAATGCACAGCGGGTAACTGGCGATGCCAAACGCCTGACAGAGTTGAATCTCCTGGCGAGCGGTCAGCTGGAGAAGAGACTGTGGAGAGAAAGTAAATAAGTAAACAAAAGAGTTTAAAAGATGTTGCCACAAGTAAAAAAGCATTGTAAACAAAAGTTACCTGCGGATCCTTGGGGAGAAAGGGCAGGCTGCTGACGTATCCAGTGCAGAGAGCAGCAATGCCGGCGTTCATGCCCTCCTTGAAGTTCATGCACAGTTTGTAGTTGGCATCGCTTGAGCTGCCCACCAGAGGCTTCAGCAGTGAGCTGAGCTGCTCCTTCACGCTAAGGCCACTGCCGCCGGCCTTCCTCTGCCTCACCTGCTCAGTCAGGTTCATCTGCGTGCGAACAAAGTTCTGGCCCTCGAGAGTGAGCAGCTGGTTGAGGGAGGAGGGTGAAAGGGCTGCCTCGTCGAAGAGTAGCTGGTTGATGGCAGACTCGGTGTTCGGGTTGCTCACTGCAGACAGCCCGAGGAGGGTCAGCTTGAAGGCCAGCGGACTGATCACCGTTGAGGTGGCGTTTGCGGCAATGTTCATTGCTTTAAGAAGCTTCAGCGAGTACGCAGGACCGGTGAGGTGAGACCAGCTCTTGAAGAGAGCAGTGTGATTCAACGACTCAGCTGATGAGGATCCGGAAGGTGAGGGCTGATCGTCAACAGGAAAGATGACCTTGCCAGAGGTGGTGCCTGGTAAATGAGAAAGGGTTTAGATGGAAGTACGGTAAAGCGCGTTTCAACTCACTTGAAAGTAAAAGCACCATGACTGCAAAGGTCGCGAAGAAAAAGGAAGTCGCCATCGTCAAAAAAACAATTATGATGGACTACAAAGTTTAAACTGATTGAATTTTGAATATGTCTGCTCGAGTTAAAGCTCAGACGCCAATTGGACTGAATTTAAGCTGGGCAGCAGAATGTATAGCCTCGGTAATCAGCAGTCGTACAGTAGATAAGGGGGCTCTTTTCTAACCAGCCAGTGTGCAACCGGTTCACCCGTCGGCAACACTTTCACGTGAGCAGATGAACAGCAGTTGAGGGCAAATATTTGCTCACTTAGGAAAAGGGCCAACTTGATCAGGGCTTGATTAGTGCAGCAACGTGATCGGGCAAGGGTGAAGGGTGACAGGGTATGATTAGGAAGAAGTAAATATAGAACAAATGTACTAAATAAACTTTTTATTGCATATGATTTCAATTTTCAGGTCCATTGTAGTACCCAGCAATAAGGACATCAAAAGCAGGCTTGTGGTACAAATCAATGTACTTTCCAATTATCAAAAAGACAAAGGGTCGATTCACATGAACATGGTCGTCACTTGAGCCGAGTTCCTCAAAGTGAAATCTTTCGTCTATTGCCACTTCTTCCTCATGCGGCCCTAGCTGCTGTTTGCCTACTCGAATGAATTGAGGAAAATTCAGCATTGCTGTGGAGTTGTTCGTCAAATGAAAGTTCACCAAATTGTGCTCTTCTAGAACAGGTCTAAAGTCAAAGTCACCGAGCGGAGTAAATTTGGGCATTGTCAGGCTGAGGGAGGTCGTCTCAATGTGAAGTCGCTTGAAGTACAGCTGAAGTTGCGCAGGCGTCAGCGAGGCCATCATCTCCGGAACGGTCGAGTCCAGGTGAGGCAGCAGAAGGACCAAACTGAACTTGTCATTCAAGTAGGGAATGCGAACTAGGCAGTGCCATAGCTTTCCCGTCACGTGATGCACTCGACCGTAGTGACCACGACTGAACAGTGTCGCCACCTGACTGGTCACCAGACCCCACTTCTTCGGGCCGTAGAAGGGGCGACTGCCAAGAGGGGCGAATCGCTGGGCAAACTCCTGCTGGAAGTCCACCAGTGAGAGGAAAGACGGCGCCGGCAGTGAGGCGGGCAGAGTGCTGCTCCACAGTGACAGTGACCGCTTGGTTGCCTCCCACTTGCTGAAGTCATTGCCCCTCACCTCCCAGAAGTCCATCGGTCGATGCCTGTCTGCCCAGCGCGAGCCCAGTCGCTTGGCGTCCACTGTGCCATTGCTGACGATGCCTCGGGTGATCTGGCAGATATCGGGAATCTTTGTGCCACTAATCGTCTGCGCCCAGGGAGCGTGAAACTCTCGCATCAACGCCCAGGCGACGTCTTCTGTGGAGTAGGTCACCTCGCGGTAGATGTTCTCGTCACTGTCATTCGCAAAGACACCTCGGCAGTCATCGAAGTGGGCAATTGAGAAGGCACGACACAGGGCTACCTTTTGGGCATTGGTCAGAGGAGAAGGTGGAGAGAGGTAGTGTGGGACGGCAAGGTAGTGGGCACACTCGGAAACGGTGTGCAGAGGGCGGTAGTCGAAGGCCTGCAACGGGAATGCTCTTTGAATTGGGGACAAAACTAAAACCTCCATCCCGACTTACCTGACACATTTCATACAGCTGTGACCGCTTCAAGTTGGAGCTGAGCAGTGTTGACGTGAGAAAGGCACCCTCTCCAGTGGCAGTTTGATGGCGGTAGCCCAAATGCAGCACAGTAGAGACTATCACATTCCACCAGTAGCTCACTGACTCTGACCACGTTTGAGGGTGAAGAATACGAGCGTTAAAACTCCGAAGATTGTCCTCTAAACTTGTGCGACTTTGCGCTGCAGTTGATGTTGGCCTGGCAGCTGGCGGGGCTTGCAGGTCAAAGAGAAAACGGTACACGTTTCGTTCTCGACTTCGGTCCAGAGAGGCTAGTGCCAGCAGGGAGAGCTTTAGTGACACCGGCGACCAGACTATTTGCGAGGCCTTGGCGTTGTACGGTATGAGGGAGAACAGTTTCAGCACGTAGCCAGGTCCAGTTCGATTGAACCACTCTTCGGCGGGGTTTCGCTTTTTGACGGTAACGGGAGGGCTGACAGTACTGCTGCTGCTGCTGCTGACGGCGACAGTGCTCGCATTGGGCTGGGTGGCCTCATTCCAGGCGACTAGGCGCTCCAACCAGGAGGTGTAGTTTGAGAAGCGGAAGGAAGTTGCGGTCCCTGTCAAAATTATAATCATTGTAACTTTAGCTACATTGAATTGGAAACAAAAAAACGCCTGGTACCTAGGAGAACGAAGACCGAGAAAGAGAGGAGGAGAACAGGAAGTCTGAAGTGCATCTCTCCGGTTTTCCGTCAATCATGTCACCAATAAGCTGAACTGATCTCTTTCAAGTGGTTCATGTGTCACTTGTAAGAGCAAGAGTCTCTAAAGGGTGCAATCTGTTTTCGTGATGGTATGGTTTTCCAATGTCAAGTTCAAGAGTCCATCGGCCAAACGCAGCGATCAAGTCGTTCGAATGCAAATATTTGCCAAGCGAAAGGAGGGAGCAAAAGCAAACACACATCTGCAATGGCAACTGCAGTCACATGCAAAGTTCAAATAACAGATGACCACATTTCAAGCTTTAAAGTGACCGGCTCAATCTGGTTTGGTATTTTCAGATTCAGTTTTTCAAATTCTTAGGCAAAAACACCGTCGCTCCATCTGGAGTTCTGGCCGGGCGTTACTTCAGCTGACGTGTTAGAGATTGCTCATTCCAACTGGCCAAACTGAGAAAGTTGCCGCAAGTCGGTTGACGCATGATTTTTGCTGCCTCAGCAGCGTCCCTCAAAGCACTGTGAGACTTACTAGCGTTCTACCGTTCATTCCCCTACAAAGGACGGAGATTTTGCCTGCGTTTGCAACTGTGGGCGCCACTAACCTATTCACCGAAAGCGATATTCAAGAGCTGCCTTTGACAAGGCGTTTCATGACAACCCAAACTTGCTGGAAAACTACCGGTCAGCATCCGGCTCACACACACAAACACAGACATACAGTTCTGAACCAGCTGCCTCGGCTGCACCAGATACTGATGACAATAGAGAGGAGAGGAACATCACATACCTTCATCATCATAACCACCGCCACTACGACACTTCTGTGGCAGCCAGGTAAGTGGTAACGGCACGCAACCAGAGCCAGTCGGCTGGTGCACTGGTGCCACCATCATCATCATTGGCAGCAACAGCAACATCATCATCTTACAGTGTTTTTCTTGCAGATCGACCTGGACTCGATACCGGTTCGGTAGCACCAACACTTTGCAATACCCGGGCAACTTACCCGGTCATCATCACCTGTAGTCGTGGAAAAACGCCTGAAAAGTTCTGAAAGAGAGAGAGACACCTTCTTGCCAACTCACTCGCCCGACACTCACTTGGAGAGCGTTGCATCGTACAGCGGCCGTACAACGCCCGTCAGGCGCCGAGAAGGGACAACAACAACAGCATCACCCGCTTCCCCTTTCGTGTTTCAACTTTGTACTTGACACTAGTCGACGATTTCACGCAACCAGGAAGGGGGATCGTGCTTACGGCTCATCAACTGCCGGTGATCATCATCATCAGCAGCAACTGTCGTCACGCTTACCAGACTCTCACTCTCCTCCTATCACTCTCTGCTCAGCAGCAGCACCACCACCAGCACGCACTGTGCTGTACAAATCATCCTCCATCGTGTCATTTTTGTCGTCTGAAAAGTCCATCGTGTCCAGTGTGAATGTAGTGCCTTCTCGTCCAGTTTTCAACACACACAATATTACACGAAAACAAACATTGGCCATCATGAAGCTCATCGACTGTGGCAGCACTGATCTCAGTAAAAGAGATTCACAGCACCGGCAAAGAAGGCGACCACTGATGCTGAAGAGCCTCCTCCTAGTGGCTCTCATTGCTGTGCAAGTTCAAATTAGCGCCAGTGATGAACACGATCATATTGTAAGTTATCTCTGTGATAGCCTGCTCTGCCTCAAGCTAATCGTCTCCTAATCCTAACAATACATCTGTCTTGACTGTAGTACGATGACAACGACGAAGTGGTGTTGTGGATGAACACTGTCGGACCGTACCACAACCGACAGGAAACGTACAGCTACTTTTCACTGCCCTTCTGTGCCGGCAAAAAAATGGGCATTAGTCATTACCATGAGACGCTTGGCGAGGCGCTGCAAGGCGTCGAGCTGGAGTTCAGTGGCCTCGCTATAGAGTTTAAAGGTATTATCTTTGCCTAACTCGCAACAAAACAAACTTAGTAAACGAGATTTTTTCATTGTTTTAAGCTAATATCGACACTGTAAAGTACTGCGAAGTGAAGCTCACCAAGGAAAAGCTGCAGGCTTTTGAGTTTGCCGTGCGCAACTACTATTTCTATCAGGCGTACATCGATGAGCTGCCAATCATGGGCAGTGTGGGCGAGCTGGACGAGTCAGACAACTCTGCCTACCTGTGGACGCACCGAAAGTTCGACATGGGCTTCAACGGCAAGCAGATTGTCGACGTGAACATGACTAGCGAGAAAAAGGTGAAACTGGAGCTGGGTGCGATCATCAACTTCACCTACGAGGTGAACTGGAAGCCGTCGCCGGTGCAGTTTGCCGATCGTTTTGACAAGTACCTCGATCCCAACTTCTTTCAGCATCGAATTCACTGGTTCAGCATCTTCAACTCCTTTATGATGGTCATCTTCCTCGTCGGTCTGGTGACGATGATTCTCATGCGTACGCTGCGCAAGGATTATGCCCGGTACAATCGAGACGAGGAGATGGATGACATGGACCGAGACCTGGGTGATGAGTACGGCTGGAAGCAGGTTCATGGAGACGTCTTCCGTCCGCCCGCCTATCCCATGGCCTTCAGTATTCTCATTGGCACTGGCTGGCACATTGGCATAGTCACCTTTCTTGTCATTTGCTTCCAGATTATGGGTGATCTGTACACTAGTCGAGGTATTGTTGTGCACTATATTCTCTCAAGGAAACTGTATGCAGCTATTTCTAAACTCTTTTTTTCAGGCTCTATGCTCAGCACTTCAATTTTCGCTTACGCTGCAACCGCTCCCGTGAATGGCTACTTTGGTGGGTCACTGTACGCGCAGACGGGTGGAAAGCGATGGATCAAGCAGATGTTCCTCAGTGCATTCGCCTTCCCGACGATGGTCTGCGGAACGGCGTTCTTCATCAACTTTATCTCCATCTACTACCACGCTTCAAGAGCGATACAGTTCACCACTATGGTAGCTCTTGTTCAACGCATTTACAACTACCGAGTTTCTATTGTTTTCTATTTTTCCTTTTTTATAGCTTGCCATCGCCAGCATTTGTCTGTTCATCATACTCCCGCTGACGCTGGTGGGCACAGTGCTGGGCCGCAACGTCAGCGGCGCTGCGAACAATCCCTGCCGTGTGAATGCCGTCCCGCGGCCAATTCCGGAGAAGAAGTGGTTCATGGAGCCGCTGGTCATTGTCCTCCTCGGTGGCATCCTTCCCTTTGGCAGCATATTCATCGAGATGTACTTTATCTTCACCTCCTTTTGGGCCTACAAAATCTACTACGTTTACGGCTTCATGATGCTGGTTTTCCTCATTCTCACGGCGGTGACCAGCTGCGTGACAATTGTTTGCACCTACTTTCTACTCAACGCAGAGGACTACCGATGGTAAGAACAGGATTTTGTGTTTAATAGTGTTTCAGATTGGTAATAATTGGAATTCTTTTTGAAAAGGCAATGGACAAGCTTCATGGCGGGTGCCTCAACTGCTGGCTACGTGTACCTCTACTCCTTTTACTACTTTTTCTTTAAAACGAAAATGTACGGCCTATTTCAGACAGTCTTTTACTTTGGTAACATGGCCCTCTTCAGTGCTGCTCTTGGTATTATGTGTGGTAAGTTTCACCATCCGGAAAAAGGAATTTTTTGGTTATTTTTAACTTTGACTTTAGGAACCTTTGGCTACATCGGCACTCGTGCTTTTGTGAGGAAAATCTATTCGACTGTAAAGATTGACTAAGTCAATTGTCCAGTAGTGTGCAGGGTCCACGTGTGGAGGACCAAAGTGGTGGCCTTGAAGGAGTGACTTTGAAAGTAATCACTTTTGCTGTGTATAACTTTTTTCCTCAAATTATCAATTTAACTCTAGGCTACTCTCTGCGTTTTCCAGCGAGAATCCTCTACCCATTTCTGTCTAGATATCTTCTTTTTAGATGTTGTATAATTTGTACACCACTATCTGTCTGATTTTGTACATTAATCTCCTCTTCGTTTGCATCCTCTTCTCTTCAATCGATCACTCTGCTTTTTATCTATTTTTGTACCATTTGTTTCGACGGCAATACCCCCACCATCCAACCAACACAAGTGAACACACAACAATACCGAGAGACACACCCACACACAAACACCACAACCTTGTGAGACTGTGACCGCATGCTCTTTGCTAACTATATTTATGATATTACCAATTATTAATTAAAAAAAGTGATCATTTGATGATGATGACGATGATACCGAGGCGCCATAAGGCTAAATTGTGACTTTGCCTTTGATGGCTATCGTTTTTCATAAGAAGTCTGTCTTTTTCTGTTTATCGCCACTTTCTCATTCAGTCATCTGGCTTAGTACTAAAATCACTACTAATTGGGCTGTCCTTACGAGGGCTGGTTGGTTCTACTGTACAAGTCGTGTACACACGTGGGCCAACTTATCCTGCTTATCGGCGAAATCGCCTGTTTACGGTACACCCTTATCATCACTTTCTCAGTTCACCAGCGGCAGCTTCTCACGAAGTTGGCGTTGGCAAATGTCTAGCACTTTAGCACAAAAAAGTAGTGGCTATTTCGGTGACAACAGAAACATACACTGACATTCTGCCGCATCTTCTGTCTGATGCGCAGTTCTATTTGTGTGTTCTTTTGCCATCAAAACACAGAGATGAGGATGATGATGATGAACACCTCGACCAGCGGTGACCAAAAGTTGTCACTCAAAAGTGCAGCCAACCAAACTAGCCCAGTCGACCCGCTATATGACCTTTTCAACAGCGGCTACTGCGAACCTCTGCAGTCTTCGTCGTCCTCAACAAGCAGCGATGTCAGCCTCCTCTGGAAGCTGTCCCACCACATTGGCAGCCAACAGCTGGAGCACCTCTTCTCCGGTCCGCTCTCTGAAGCACTGGCCTACCTGAAGGACGTCAGCACCTGTGTGGAGAACTACCTTAAAAATGTCTTCTCTGCATACCTTTCAGCGAGTGACTTCACTCAGCGAGTGATCGCCAGTGACAAGGCCAGCCTGGTCGCCGAAGAGGTGGCTCGCAATGATTCGCTCAAGTTGGCCGCCATTGACCGGAAGCTGGACGCCATTCTGGACGCCATTACAGCGTCTAAACTGGAAATAATCAACTCCATTCAGTACAGTCACATCAAGCCGATAATCAGCTATCTAGAGACGCTGAAAGGGTACTTCAAGGCTGAACTGCAATACATTCATGTGAGTAGTTTGTATCACCGTTAAATCTTAACTAAAACTGATTTTTATTGAAACAGGTCACCGGTTACGAGCGTATCCAGCGACTAGAGGGAGACCACGAGGAGATGAACTACCTACAGGAGTCTCGACTGCCAAAACCAGGCACACTGTACACCCTGCTGAACGATGTCATCAATCAGGAGATGGCTATTCCGAAGACTGCTGACGATACAGTCGCCTTCATGGTGCTCGACCTGCTGGTGACCAGCACTGAAACGTACTTCCTCACAGCCAACTTTCTCCTCAACTACTACCGACAGGTGGCCATTGCCTTCTACCACCTCAAAAACACTGATCAGTTCAACAAGTTTTACTCTATGGGAATAGACAACTTCAATGATCTCCTTACAGAGAACCAGCTCGGATTGATTGCCAAGGTTGAAAAGACGCTAGAAGAAGCCGAGGCGACGGGTTTCCAGGGAACAGCACCGGAGTTTAAGCATTTCTTTGCCAACAGTAGAAAGCTGCTGAATGATTTGCGAGAAAATCTCAAGTCAACCGCTGCCTTGCTTCCAAATGAACTGCCAAAAAGAATAACAGAGAAACTGGATTTTTCAAGTAACTTTTCTACAAAGTGAGAAGTTCGTTTTTAACAAACATGAACGTTTATTTTGCGCAGATTCTCCGTTATCTACGCCAACGGGAAAGTGGGTTGACTATCGGAAGGTGAGCTACGCCATACAGTACCGCAATGAATCGAATGCCATCACTGGAATGACGGTGATCAGTAAGTGGACCATTCCGTGGACCATTCACGGCAAAGCTACACCGATGGTCGGCATACCGAAGGATCTTCACGGCAGAACGAGAATCGTCTTTCGGCGATTTGACAACGAGGAGCCTGAAATGGCAGCCACCATCACCGACCCAACGGTGACGTCATTTAGAGACATTGATCGAGAGCTCTTTAACGCAGCCATGGAGCCCAATGAAGAGCTGGCTTCTAAAGAAATTGAAAAATATCTCAAATTGCAGGCCAATGTAAATGCCGTCTTTGAAAAGGGCCGCGGACCAATGCACATGGCAGCGCAAAATGGTAACGTTGCTTTGGTGAAAAAGTTGAAGCTAAAGAAAGCCAAGGTGGACATTAAAGACTACAATGGGTATGTAACACTAAGTTTTAAAAAACATTAATTTCACCTTTTCTTTTCTAGGTACACTCCATTCCACAATGCAGCCTTCAAAAGGCAGGTCAAGTTTTGCCAAGAAGTTCTCAAATCGGGGCTGATTCCTGCCAATATTCTCGCTGCAAACCGGTTCACGCCATTACATTCAGCTGTCATGTCTGGCGGTGAAAATATTGTTCTTGTTTTTACTCAGCACAGAGAGATAAACTTGGAGGTAGAACAAAAGCAACATTTCTGTGAATCACTCAGTTTATCAAGCTAACTGATTTTCTTCTCTTTTTCGCAGGCACAATCAGACCGAGGTTTAACTGCCTTACACCTGGCTGCACTACATGGTTTTGTCTCCATTGTTTCCATCCTCTTGGACGCTAAAGTTTTAGTGAATAGCCGTTCCTTTGATGGCCTAACTGCCCTTGATATGGCCATTAAAAACAAGAAAAAAGCTGTGATTGACATTCTTCTGGCTCGAGTTGAAATTGACGTCAACTTGAGGGACTACCGTGCGAAACTGTCTCCCCTGCATCTTGCTGCACTGACTGACCAGCAGAAAGTGGCGCAACAGCTGATTGAAAAGGGTACGCAACACGTTGCTTCTTTCTTGCAGGTAATTAGACTAACACTTGATTGCCGCCATCTCTATCAGGCGCCAACATCGACAGTGCCTCCTGGGAAGGGCGGACACCCCTACACCTGGCCATTCAGTACAATCGTACTGCCATCGTCGATGTGCTCCTCAACTCGGGCGCCAACTATAACGCCCCCGCCGGAGCCTGGTCACCACTTCAGTTGGCAATCATCTACCGCAATGAACAGGCCGTCTTTAAGCTACTGAAAAACCGTTCAATTGACCTCAACTTCCAGGAAGCGAGAACACGTTTTTCCGCCCTCCACCTGGCAGCAAAGTACGATCAAGCAGAGGTGGCAAGTGAGCTGCTGAGAAGAGGAGCACAGCTGGAGCTGACGGCGGAGCAGTCTAAAACGCCTCTTCACGTGGCCGCCATTGCAAACAGTGTCAAAGTGTTGGAGCTTCTTCTGCAAAGTGGCGCCAACGCCAGCGCACAGACAGCTGACGGCGATACGTCTCTGGAAATCTGCAGAAAGTTAAAAAATGACGAGTGTGAAGATTTGCTGGAAAGCTGGCTAGAAGATAGAACTGTTGACGTGAGGCGCAGGAGAAGGCCAAAACTGGGTATTGCTAAAAGTTCTGCCTCAAGACCAGCCTCAGTAATCAACCATTTAATTGCATCGATTCAAAGCACCCTCCACGGTTTGACATTTGGCGCCATTGGTAGATTTCAAAACTTAAGTTTAAGAAACATAGAATTCAATTCATTTCTGCCAAAACTGTCTTCAGATAAAGTGAACTTTTCACCTGATTATTCAACAGCGTCAAACGTGGATGTCAACGGATCAATATTGTTACTAGAACTTGTATCTAGAAAACTCACTCAACACAAAGTTATTAATAACTCTGAATTGCAAATGAACGACTTTGAAGCTCGCGCAATAGCTTTAAACTTGACATTTTCAAAAGCAGAAATCTCATTCGAAACATACCGGTTAACATATTGGCAACTAATGAATGGTTATCTGCAAAAAGAGTTTTAGTTTTTATTTTTTTTATTTAAATTTTTTATTGTTATTTAAAAAACACTTGTCACAATATTAATTCACAATTAAGGTGATCAAAAATGACAAGAAACAATTTACACAGTAAAAACTTTAAAAAATTTTTGGTATTGAATTGATGCAAAAAATAAAAATTGTGTCTTTTGAATGTCAGTTTGAAAAACAAAAGCTGTGTGCGAAAAAAATTGGGTTGTCAATAGTAGGTTTGTTTACCATTTTTTCTTTTTCTGCTTAAACTCCCCTTGCAAACCGAGGGTTAAATCGTGGAACGTTTGTGTTTCGAGCTTTTGATCCTCCTTTAACACCCATTTTTACTGCAGATGATGGCACTGATTGTCCAGCTGGAGCCGAAGGAGTAGGCGATGAAGGCCTAGAGGGAGCTGACCAACTCGGAGTGGCTGGTCGTTGAACAGAAGAAGTTTGAGGAGCCTCTGGAGCCGGTGACTCTGGTTCAGTGGGTGCTGGCCAGTTGGGGGCAGAAGGCGATGGTGGCGAAGGTGCAGAATCATCATCAGCATCTGGGGCCGATGGTTCTGATGGCAGGTTTGATTGAGGCAGTGAAGGTGAAGTGAGAGATGGCAGTTCACCAGAAGTAGTGGGAAGAGATGGCTGTGGTCGTTGTTGAGGTCCCTGTACAGGCGTGCTTGGCCATCCTCCAGAGGCGCCTGGAGGGCGACTTTTTGTGCTTGACAGAGGTTTGGGCTGAGATCCAGAGTAAGTCGATCGAGCTGGCTGCTGCTGCCAGCTTGGCACCGTCGGAGCTGATGGCTTAGGCTGCATCCAGCTTTGGATTGGAGCAGACGATGGACCACTAGGTTGGCTGTCGGTACTTATCGCCTGATCATCAGCATCCTCTGGTTGCTCTTCGGGTTTACTCTGCTGCCAGCTTGGAGCAGATGGTGCTGGAGCTGGTTTAGGTTGAGACCAAGAGGGCGCTGAAGGTGAAGGGGCTGGTTTGGGTGCCTGCCAGCTCGGCGTTGAGGGAGATTGAGCTGGTTTGGGCTGGGACCATGACGGGACTGAAGAAGTTGTTTTTATTGGTTGGCTGGGCGTCGGCTCATATGATTGAGCCGGTTGCTGTGACCATGAAGGTGCAACAGGCGCCGGAGCTGGTTTAGGAGCTTGCCAGCTCGGGGCAGAAGGAGCAGGAGCAGGTTTGGGCTGAGACCAGGAAGGCGCTGTTGGAGTTGTCTTTACTTGTTGATTGGGCGTTGGTCCATATGATTGAGCTGGTTGCTGAGACCATGAAGGTGCAGGGGCTGGTTTAGGAGCTTGCCAGCTGGGAGTAGAAGGAGCCTGGGCTGGTTTTGGCTGTGACCATGAAAGTGCTGATGGAGCTGTTTTTGTTGGCTGGCTGGGCCTAGGCGCATAAGATTGAGCCGGTTGTTGTGACCAGGAAGGTGCAGCAGGTGCAGGGGCTGGTTTAGGCTGAGATCCAGAGTAAGTCGGTCGAGCTGGTTGCTGCTGCCAGTTTGGCGCCGTCGGAGCTGATGGCTTAGGCTGCATCCAGCTTTGAATTGGAGCAGACGATGGACCACTAGGTTGGCTGTCGGTACTTATCGCCTGATCATCAGCATCCTCTGGTTGCTCTTCGGGCTTACTCTGCTGCCAGCTTGGAGCAGATGGTGCTGGGGCTGGTTTAGGTGTTTGATAGCTCGGAGCAGAAGGAGCAGGAGCAGGTTTGGGCTGAGACCAGGTAGGCGCTGATGGAGCAGTTTTTATTGGTTGGCTGGGTGTCGGTCCATATGATTGAGCCGGCTGCTGGGACCTTGAAGGTGCTGCAGGTGCAGGAGCTGGTTTTGTTGCTTGCCAGCTCGGGGTAGAAGGAGCAGGAGCAGGCTTTGGTTGAGACCACGATGGAGTAGCTGGTGCTGGTTTTGGTTTTGGAGCTTCCCAGCTAGGAGATGACGGTGCTGATTTTGGCTGACTTGAAATTGGGGCGTATGGCTTAGCCGGTTGCTGTGACCATGAAGGTGCCGCAGGTGCTGGTGCAGGTCTCCTTACCGGTGAACTAGGCCAAGCCCCACTTGAGGTAGGTTTGCCACCACCTTTGGTGCCTGACACAGGTCCTTTAGTTGAAGTTGGTTTTGGAAGTGATGGCTGTCGTTGACCTGTTCCAGGTTCATACGACGATTGGGGACTTGACTGTGGTTGCTCTTGTTGACCTGGACCTATTGGAAAAGATGAAGTTTTTGCTCCAGTGTCTTGTTCGCCAAGTTGAGCTGAAGGTTGAACTGGTTGCATCCAAGAGGGAGCTGCGGGAGCTGGTTTTGGGGCTTGCCAACTAGGAACTGATGGAGATGTTTTTGCTGGCTGACTGGGCTTTGGTCCATATGATTGAGCAGGTTGCTGCGACCATGACGGGGCTGCAGGTGCTGGAGCAGGTCTTGGCTGTGACCAGGAAGGTGCTGCAGGAGCAGAAGCTGGTTTAGGTGCCTGCCAACTAGGACCTGAGGGAGCAGCTTTTATTGGTTGACTTGGAGTTGGTGCATATGATTGCACAGGTTGCTGTGACCAAGAAGGTGCTGCCGGAGAAGAAGAAGGTTTCGGTGATTGCCAGCTAGATGTGGAAGGAGCTGGGGCTGGTTTTGGCTGAGACCAAGATGGACCAGATGGAGCTGTTTTTGTTGGCTGGTTGGGCTTAGGCGCATAAGATTGAGCCGGTTGTTGGGACCAAGAAGGTGCTGCAGCAGGAACAGGTTTGGGTTGAGACCAGGACGGCGCTGATGGAGTTGTCTTTATTGGTTGGCTGGGCGTTGGTCTATATGATTGAGCTGGTTGCTGAGACCATGAAGGGGCAACAGGTGCAGGAGCTGGTTTTGGTGCCTGCCAGCTCGGAGAAGAAGGAGCAGGAGCAGGCTTTGGCTGGGACCATGATGGCGCTGCTGGTGATGGGTTTTGTTCTTGAGTTTCATAACTGGGAGCAGACGGTGCTGACGCTGGTTTGGGTTGAGACCACGAAGGTGCTGCCGGAGAAGAAGCAGGTTTGGGTGCTTGCCAGCTGGGCGTGGAAGGAGCGCTTTTTATTTGCTGATTAGGCTTTGGTGCGTAAGATTTGGCAGGTTGCTGTGACCAAGAAGGCGCTGCAGCAGGAGCTGGTTTAGGAGTTTGCCAGCTGGGAGTAGAAGGAGCTGGGGCTTGTTTTGGCTGAGACCAAGATGGACCAGCTGGAGCTGTTTTTGTTGGCTGGTTGGGCCTAGGTGCATATGATTGAGCTGGCTGCTGAGACCATGAAGGGGCAGCAGGTGCAGGAGCTGGTTTTGGTGCCTGCCAACTCGGAGAAGGAGGAGTAGCAGATTTAGGTTGAGACCAAGATGGAGCAGCTGGTGCTAGGTTTTGTTCTGGAGTTTCATAACTGGGGGCAGACGGTGTTGGTTTGGGTTGAGACCATGAAGGTGCTGCCGGAGAAGAAGCAGGTTTGGGTGCTTGCCAGCTAGGTATGGAAGGAGCGCTTTTTACTGGCTGGCTGGGCTTAGGCGAATATGATTGAGCCGGTTGCTGTGACCATGAAGGTGCTGCTGGTGATGGAGCTGGTTTGGGTGCCTGCCAACTTGGGGCTGAAGGAGCAGGGGCCGGTTTTGGTTGAGACCAAGAAGGCGTACTAGAAGAAACAGGAGCTGGCTTTCTTATTGGAGAACTTGGATAAGTGCCACTAGGTTTAGAGCTTGGTTTGCTTTTAGTGCCCGATATAGGTCCTTTAGTATTAATTGATTTTGGCGACCAGCTAGACGGTGGCAGTTCAGCAGATGGTGATGGTGTCTCTGAACTGGGCGTTTGAATTGGAGCAGAAGGACGAGATGGCTGCGACCATGATGGCGCTGCCGGAGATGGTGCCGGGGCAGGTTTTGGTTGCATCCATGAAGGAGTTGCAGGAGCTGGAGCTAAAGGTTTCTGTGTTTGACCCCATGTAGGACGAGGGGCAGCAGGTTGAGATGGCTGAGTCCATGAAGGGGAAACTGGTGCTGGTCTAGTTGATGATGGCCTACTGGGCGGTGACCACGGTTCTGCAGAACCTATTCCCGGTGCAGGCCCTGGTTTGGGAGCATTCCAACTTGAAGTTGGAAAAGTTGGTGCTTTGGTTGGAGGTTCAGGAATTCGTGGGATATCAGCTGGCTGCTCTACCGCAATATCTTCTTCCTCTTCTTCAGCTGAATCTTCACCATCTTTAATTTGTGAAGGCGAAATGACAAGAGGTGGCTGAGGGCGAGGCGCCGATGGTCGAGAAAGTTGAGGGCCTGAGAGAGTAGGTGCCTTTGGACTTGGGCCAATGGGGAAAGATGCAGTCTGTGCACCAGAGTCTTGGTCTTGAGGGCCAGTTGTTTGCTGCCAACTAGGCACAGATGGAGTCGGGGAAGCTGGCGCTGCAGATGGTTTTTGTGGTTGAGACCAAGATGGTGCTGCTGGTGCTAGAGATGGTTTGGGTGTCTGCCAGCTAGGAACTGAAGGAGCAGAGGCTGGTTTTGGCTGAGACCAAGAAGGTGCGGCAGGAGAAGGAGCGGGGGCATAAGGAGCACTAGGCGCTTTTACTGGTTGATTTGGCGTTGGTTGTTGTGACCAGGATGGCATCGGGGCTGGTTTTGGTTGAGACCAGGATGGTGTTGCTGGTGCAGGTTGAGGCCTGGATGGCAGCGATGGCCTGTTCGGTGGCGGCACTGATTGTGCAGATGTGTCCTCTTCTGGAGCCGGTCTCGATGGTGGTGAAGGGATTCTCGGTACCTTTTCTACTAGTTCTTCCTCTCCTTCTCCTTCTCCTTCATCTTCCGCTCCATCCTTCACCTGTTCAATTTGCTGTTCTACCTGAGCTGCTCGTCTAAACTGCGTATTCTCTTCCTCGTTGACTGGAATAAGCAACAGTGATCCCTTATCAGAAGCAGTTGATGCTCCATTTTTTGCCTTAGGAGCTGTTTCCATCATGTTCTCAGGCTCAAGGGCATCATCAGGAATCGCCTCCTCTTGGTCATCCTCTCCAGTGGCTCTTAGTCGGCGACCAAACATCTGATTTTTGTCTGCTCCATTGCCAACTACCAATTCCTCCTCATCTTCACCGTTTATGTGAAACTGTTGATCGTCTTTTGTGTAGGGCAACGGTTTCTCTCGCGTATTCCGGATCAAATTTTGCGAACTAGATTCTTCAAGAGTGTTTTCATCAGTCTCAATGTTTGCTAGTTCCCTTTGGTTTTGTCTACAAAATGTACAACATTAGTGTTTTTGTTAAATTGTAACAGCTGCAGCAGCAGACTTACAGCATAACAGACTTCCACCATTGAGCATTTTCGGGTTCAGATCGACGTAAGCTCGAGACATCGTATGCGTTAGTCACTTGAAGTAGGCTTTGTGCAAAAACTGCTACCAACAAAAGCCCAACAACAGACTTTCGGTTCTGATACAAACAATATAAAGGTAAACATATTTTGTTTCACAAGTTTTTAGACTTCAAACATACCTTTGTTAGATGAAACATCTTTTGTTGTGAGTTATAATTTCAAGAAAACATTGGTGAAAAATAACACACGAAAGATTGCAGAATGGTTCACACACAAAAGAACTTGTTGCAATATTGGAACTACACTTAATCGATAATTCTTAGCACTATTCGACGCAAATCAATCTCCTCTTTTCAATGCTTGCCGACGCTCACCACTGCAAACCTGACAGGCATCTGAGGCGACTGGCCAGTTTGGATCTCCTCGCTTTTAGTCTCATCCTCGATTGCTACCGAGCATCTTCCTTCAGCTAATCTCTCACTTTGATCTCTTTTGCACACACAATCCTCCTTGCGCACACTTTCACCGGTAAATTCTCTTGCCATTCACTTTCACTGTTCACGGTAAAGCTCAGGACAGGGCTGTCTTCTTTAGGTGGGCTTGTCTTAGAAGTAAGAGAAGAGAATCCGCCGCTACTACTAAGCAGCCAGCAAAAACACCTTTTTCTCTTTTACTCCAAAGATAAGTGCCCTCCCTGTCTAGCATCTTTTTTCTCACCTTTAGAAAAGCTCACCCCAATCTGCCACTTTTTTGTTCTCTCTCTTTCACTTTTACACGTGCTGAAACCGGTGGTCACTTCTAAACTATTACACACACACACCTATGTTCACTTTCTCTTATCTTTTCGTGCACTCTTACATGTTTCCCTCTACTCTTTACACGCTTCTATGTCATTGCCAACGCAGATTGCCAGCAGCATGTCTTCTCGCGAATTATCTCAAGTACGAGTGGACAATAAAAAAGCGTTGCTGTATCTTTGCCGCTTTGACAAAGACAAAAAGCCTCATTGAGGATGCTTAGCAGGCACCAGACTGCCACCACCACTACTACTATTGGCGTGGAATGCACTAAGAAAGGTGAAATACTTCAAAAGTTGCCCCCTACATGAAACGATTTCCCGTTGATGAACGTCGCTTTTGATCTGCGTAGAGAATTGCCAATTCCATGGATCAGCAGCCCACAGTCTGGAGGTAACTCACAGTTTTTTCTCACTTTTGATCGATCACTGCCTGGCATTGTTTTGACAGAGTAGAAAACAGAAAGGAACATCAAAAGTTGCTTTGTGCCAAAAGTGCATTTTTCGTACCAGCTTTACCTCGGCCTGACACGACACTACAAACATCGGTGAAAGAGTGAGGAGGCATCTTCTTTAGCAAATTAGCGTTTGCACGTGTTGAACACTAGTGCTCAGTGAGCATGGTCATTTGCGATAATTGATGATGCCTGATGGCAGGGAGACTAGGAAAAAGGTCAAAATCAATAAAGCACTACGATGAAGCGCATCTGCTCAGCTTACACTATCTTTCCCACTTTTTTGCCCTTAAGCTTTCTTCAGAGCAGCGATTTCTCTTTTGACCATAAACCATTTTTGTTTTTTGTGATTAAACAAAAATTACTTGTTGTCCAATTTTTTGAAATTTGTTTCATTTTTCACTGCAAAAACTTAAAAAAAGCAAAGTTGTGAACGAAAGTGCAACTCTAACCAAAAAATTAAAGATAACTTACATAGGTAAAGTGTTAGTTTATGTGAAATTTTAAAAAAGTTTTAAAACCTTGAGCAGTCATTTAAATTTTTAAAATATTTCGAACATGACTTGTGTGACAAATCAAAAATAAATTAAAAAACAAATAATTGTAGCACATTGAATCTACAGCAGTTTTTGCAATTAGCTATGCTCGTCATACATAAAATAGCTGAATTTTTAAATTGTATAAAAACACAATTTAACAAAGAATGTCTAAAACTGTCAATCAATCAACCCTGTTTTGCAGTATAATGTTTCTTTTTTACCGTTTTATCTTTTCAATTTCTAATAGTTTATTGAATTTTACTGAATGTCAATTGGTCGTGGAGCTTACACAACATTCGTGAGTATTTGATTTGCGCCAAAGTATTGACTGCAATCTAAGAAATCAAAATTAACTATTCACTGAAAGTTCAAGTGTCGTCTGGAGATTGTGCATTGGGGACAAAGAAAATGTCGAATAGGCAAAAAACAACAAAAACAACACAACATTTGCATAACCTCCCCAAGTTCAGGATTACAAACAATCGGATTACAGAAAACGTTTAAAAATTAAGCAAACTAAACTAAAGAACAAAACAAATGTTTTGGTTACATAAAAAAAGTTAAGATGATTAGAGAATTGTTCATAAATGTCAGTGACACACTTTTAAGAATTTTATAAACTAATGTAACAACATTAAATCTACAAACAATTTTGTATTTTTTAACATTTAGCCTTTCAATAACAACAATCGCTTTTTTTCTTGAAACGTCATTCTCATCTTTAATTAGTCAACAAAAAATATAATCAAATAATGAACTTGATCTTGGGAACCCGCCTCTTTTTATTCTTTTTATCGTTCATCCTGTTTTCACCCTTTGTGAAGGTTCACTGCACAATAATTAGCCTGTTTTTCTTGCCCTTTTATTAAGCGACAACTGTACATAAACTTTTGAAATTCATTTTCTTATTAACAAAACTGCAGTTGCTTCTCAACAGTTGTCCACTATCACTAAAAACTGCAAGGATAATTAATCGATTTACCTTCCACCTGAATTGATTTCACTTTTCTCTAACCGACTCATCTCTCTTTTTCTCATTTCCATTTATCCACTTAGTGCAAGCACTAGAGTGGCCTAAAGCTCATCTCTTAAATTGACCATTATCCTCAACTATTACTACTTATCCACTTTCCCTTGTCAGTGTGCTTATTTCCATAGCAAACAGATCGATATTTCATGGCTAATTAAAAACAGTACTTTATGGAAAAAATGTAGACAGTCATTCTAGCGTAGATGAGTTAAATTAAGCAATTATTTATAACGTGTAGTGATCCACTGCTTTATTTACTTATTTGAATAAAAACGATATTAATTTACACATTGACAGTTTTTTAAATTTTAAAAAATAAAATTTGAAACTTTTTTGTTACTGTTGAAAACTTTGTTTGCACAAGCAAGTACCAAAGTCAGGTTGACTTTTTTGTATTTGCTAAATAATTTACATTTTTTTTTAAAAAATTGGTTTTATTCTAATGTAGAAATATTTTTGCGTGACTGCAAAATAAGAAAATTAAATTTGTGCATTTTTTACAAATGTGCACGTAGAATTGAAACAAGTTAACTACAATTTTTTGTTTAGCTATTTCGCACATAAAATTTATTTCAAAGTTGAACGTTTTATGTCAAATCTATTCAGTAAGGCAGGTGTTTGTTTAACTTTAGGTCAAAGCTATAAATTGTATTGGAAACTTTATTTCTAATGACCGTTGTGCTGATGATCATGCATTGAGAATTGTAAAAACATAAAAACAATTTCTAATTGTAAACGTGCTCAATTTTAATTTGATGCTAATAAACATAATAAATAAATAATAATTTTTTATTTATTTATATTAAAACAATTGTTTATGTTTTTTTTCATTTTTGTGTTACTATTTTTGAAAAAGTTTACTTTTTGTTAAAAGTGATAAAATGATTGATTATCGTTATTTCATCTGCTAATATTACTCAATTGACTTAATCCTGGTGATCAAGCGCACAAACTGTTCTTACTGTGTGAATAATTAGTTTGAACTTTATGACATAAAAAAATGATTAATTAGAGTGAGTTGTTTTGCTTCAAATGATTTTAATTGCTACAATTAAAAATTTCAAACATTATTATTTTAACTATCTGTACTTAATTAGCCAAATTACTTTTAATTAATTTTTACTTTTTTTGTATACTTTTTGCAACAAAATTTTAAAGTTAGCAATTTATTGTTAGTCATCTTCAGCTTGGCTAATTGCAAATATGCAAATTGGCTATTTATTGCACCAAAATAGTAAAGAATTTAGCCAGGCAGGAACCATTAACATCCTTTTACACATTCTTTTTAGTTTCATTTTTAGTACTACTGTGATGATATGTTGTTGAAGTGTTCGTGCAATGATTACTACTACTGATAAGAGGATGCTATGGCTACTTTCTCACTTGCTCTCACTTGTTTTTTCTCTTTTCTTTGTGGCATTTTACCTTCAAGGCCCCCTTTTATAGCGCATTTTCCGGAGATGATTTGTGACCAATTCGTGAGCAAGCTAACTGCTAACTTTAGCACTTTCTCTTAAAAACCCACTGTCAATGTTGTTCTCCTCTGAGTGGTCATTTTTTCAAATCCCTGGAGGCGCTGTACAAGCATCTGACAAACAGGTGACAATTGCTAAAAGAAAAAATTTTGTATGAATTTGAATAAATAAAAGAGGGAAGTTAGATGTGTTGTCTTGGCGAAACAATGACTGTAAAGTCCCTTTTCGGACTATTCTGTTAACTGGCATTGTGTTTGCACAATATAATTCTACGGACGAACAGACATAATTTTTCCAGTAGTCAGTGCGTTAGTCCAATTACCGGTGATTACGAGAGGATGTTTAGGCAATAAACGTTGACGTTTTACAAGAAAATGTACAAAAAGGTAGATTACCAAACTGTCTAGAAAATATGTACATAAATTTTACATCATATCGCTGATGTTCCAGAAAGACAACCAGTTTTTTCAAACACTGTTTGGGCACTAATGGTCAAATGTATTCTGACACTTGACTTGAGTGGACCTATTATGAAAATGAAAGACTCTAAAGCAAAAGTTACTTTAGACTTGCTTCTTCAAAATCATCTAATTTTTTCAAAAATATTCTCTTGCTTAACCACTTTAGAATTGCTCTCAATTCGTTTTGTTTCAAAAGTGTTTTATAAGCAGATTGCTTGTTTTATTGCTTGCAATTTTGAAAATACTAGCCAATTCAACTACAGCAACTTGACAAACAGATTACCTCATTATGTTTTCCAAAACATTTTTGCTCAAGTATTAAATCAAAATTATTTTTTCTTGCGCTCCTACTCTAGAATAAATTTGTCTCGATGTCACTGGATAGAAGATGGTCAGCTGCTCCAGATTACAATGCGTTCAAATTCAGCTCTACAAGAGCTA